ATGGCAGCTGCTTTTGGAGGATGCCAGGGGGCCTTGGCCATGGAGCAGCTCACCCCAGGGAGACCCAGGGAGCTGGGGGTCACAGACCCCACAGGAAGGTTTCTCCCGGTCCAGAGACGTTCTGCTGGTCCTGGGCAGGTGCCTCGTCGGGGCCGTCCCTGTGGTTCTCCCACCGGGGACAGAGACACGTCACTGTGCAAAGGGCCCCACCAAGCCCATACCAGGCAGGAGTGGGTGCGGGAGCTCCCCAGGCCCGGGACAGAGCTGGGGAAGCCACGATGGCCTGGCCATGCCAGGCACTGACCAGGAACAGCCTGTCATGCCAAACCAGTGGCCCAGTGTGGGGTTTATTAGGAAAGAGAAGGTCCTGCCCAAAACGCCGTTGGTGCCTGGGACCAGCCCTGGCAGAGTGAGGCAGAGGAGGATGCTGGGAGCAGACACCCCTGCACCCACCCACCGCAGGCTCTCCTTGCCCTACACGCTCCTCGCACACCCTGCGGCATTGGTCCGTCACCAAGCATCATCACCATCACCACCATCATCACTGTCATCATCATTGTCACTGTTGCCATCATCATCTCCGTAGTCTTCGTCGTCATTGTAATCGTCATCGTCATCATCATCATCACCACCATTGTCGTCGCCATCGTTATCGCCATCGTCATCACCATCATCATTACCGTCATCATCACCATTGTCATCGCCATGCTCATTTTTATCATCATCATCATCGTCGTCGTCGTCGTCATCACTGTCATCATCCTCCCCACTGTCACCCTGGTCAGACTCAGGCTTCTTTCCCTCCTCAGGCTTCCCCTCACTCTCCGGCTTCTCCCCAGTCTCCGGCTTCTTCCCCAGCAGAGGTTTCTCCCCAGCCTCAGGTTTCCCCCCAGCCTCTGGCTTCTCCCCAGTCTCCGGCTTCCCACCAGTCTCTGGCTTCTTCCCCAGCACAGGTTTCTCCCCAGTCACTGGCTTCCCTCCGGTCTCCGGCTTTGCTACCACCTCTGGCTTTTCCCTAGTATCAGCCTTGTCTCCACATGCTGGTGTTTTCCCTGAACTGGGTTTCTTCCCGGTGTCTGGCTTCCCAGCTGGCACAGGATTGCTCCATGCCGCAGGCTCCCTCCCAGTCACCGGCTTCTTCCCCGGTGTGGGTGTTGCAGCAGTCACCGGCTCAGATGCGGGCAGGCACTGGTCTTTACCCACCCGCTCCGCACCCCACTCCTGCTTCCCGTCCGGGGCAATCCTGCCGGGCTGTGGACGGGGCACCGCGCTGGGCTCTTCGCCAGGCCAAGGGCTCTTCCCCAGCAGAGCGCTTCCAGGCTGCCCTGGCTGCGGCCGCCTGGCAGGGGCTGCTCCGAGGAGCCCTGGAAGGGAGCAGAAATAGCAGCGTCAGCCCCGGTGTGCTGGCTCTGCACTGCCCTCCCACCCACAGTTCCC